GCAGCTGCCCAGGGATGTCATTAATGATAGACAGTGAAGCCTCTTGGCCCTGACTTCTGCAGTTGCATTGGGCTGATGCTGCCGTAAGCTCTATTGTTAAAGGAGCAAACACCAGGCTCCATAGTCCATGCTGGTTGTCTGAGGAAACAGTAGGTCTCTTACAGCTTATGGACAGCGAGAGGAAACCTCTCCTTCCCAGAAGCCATGGCAAACATCTGCCTCATGGTCTCCTCCTGGGTTGTGTTCCTATCTATTTTAGTCAGCCATAGGAGCCAGGAATGGCCACTTTTTTGTGTGTGGAAAACTATGGTCATTTTGATTTTGAGATGATTGGTTAAACCATCCAACATACATTAGAAGTAATACCCCACGATGCTTCAGCTATTCTAAGCCTATTTGGGGGTTTTGATTGGGGATAAATGAGATGGGATGAATACCACCAAAACCAGCTGGAAGAGTGAGTTATCCAAAGGAAGACTGGATATTGTCAAAAGGAGCCCAGAAGACAGCTGTTCATAGAAGGCTTCAGAGGCTTTGGGTCATAATCCACTAATTATTTCTGGAAAAAAAATACTTTTTCCCCTAGGCAGGAAGGGGCTTCTCAAGGGAAGGTGGAGCCGTAGCCTCCCTTGTCTCTAACAAGTCAGCCTGGATAAACTGGGTGTGGTTTCACCCGTTGTCCCAGTGCTTGGGATGTATAGGCAGAAGAATCGCCGCAAGTTCAAGGCTCGCCTGGTCTGCGCAGCAAGTGCCAGGCCAGCCCGGACTGCATCTGTCAACGCATAGTCAGCACACCTGAGAACCGAGGTCAGGCCGGCCAGCTGGAGACCCCCAGAGAGAGCCGTGCACTCTCGTTTCACGCCCACCGGCTGGGTTGGCTCACACTACCACAGCTCTGTGGTTCATGTCACTCCGTGACACGTCACCAGTTCCCGTGGATAAACGTCTACCCAGCATTTGAAGGACAAGCATTTGAAAACTGTTCTGTGGTAAATTGTGGTTATCTTAATTTTAAAGTGATTAGTTCAGGCATCACAGGAGGGTGTGTGTGTGTGTGTGTACATTTATATATAGAAATAGATGACATTATTTTTAAATATTATGAAGAAAGCTGAAAGCATGCTTAGTTGAAAAAATGGCCATTTTAGTGTTCATCTTGTTCCCAAGATTTTGCAATAGTGTGGCATCCATTAAATAATAAGTGTGTTACACGTTTCAGTGTGTGGTAACAAGAAGAAGTGACTTCATAGCCACTTGGTCTGCTCTGTTGTGGTTTATGATGCCATCTGGATTCTTCAGTGGAATGATTTTCCGTCTAAATCACTGTAAACTTCTATTTAGTTTTCACAAATCTGAAGGCAGATCTGTTTGTGGTTTTTAGCAGTGATGTAATTCTGGAACATACTGTGACTGCTAAAAGTTGTCGTATACCACCAGTATTTAACTCAGTGTCTCACATCATTTCAGACAAACTAGAAGCCTGGAAAAAAAAAATCCGCTTCTCCGCTTGAAGATTTTATACTTCAGTGTTTCCTGTCCGCCTTACCACTCACCTTTGATCATGTCAGTTGAGATGAGTTGGGGGGGGGGTGCTCTGGAGAGTTCTGCCCCTCAGGAAGCTCGGATACAATGTTTCACTGACGTTCCCCGCCCCCCCATGTGGTAGAGAAAGAGAAGCAATCTCACTTCTTGGCTGACAGTGTCAAAGTACATCCATATTTGGGATGTACACAGTGAACTGCACAGAAGAAACGAGGCAGCTAAGCCTTCCTTTCTCAGCTCTGAAGATGTCAAGGTCCCGCGTTCTTCCTCTGCGTTCCTCCTCAAAGCGGTAGCGGTCTGAGGGTGGGGCGTGCCAGTGATGGCAGTGGTTGATGGATGGGGAAACTCAGCCTGTGCTGCAGACCCAACACAGAGGACAGAGACGGGAGACCGTCCTCAAAGAGCTGGAGAGAAAGCGAGATTTGCGGGCTCGTGTCAGTGTATTAAATACAAAGTGAGGGGAAAAACAAAGAAGCCAGTGATGGTAGCACACGCCTTTAGTCCCAGCACTCAGGAGGCAGAGGCAAAGGAATCCCTGAGTTCGAGGCCAGCCTGGTCTACACTGTGAGTTCCAGGACAGCCAGAGCTACACAGAGAAATCCTGTCTCAAAAAGCCAAAAAAAGAAAGAAAGAAAGAAAGAAAAACAAAGAAAAGGAAACTGGTCGGGACAGGTACTTGCTGTACATTGGAACAGTAGGAGGCAAATATGAAGCTGGTATAGTTTCTAAGGTGTTAGGAAGGTGTTAGTAAAGTCTCCTCAGCAAGGCACAGAGATCCAAGAAACACCCGTCAAAGGACTACCCCACAGATGTCAAACATGCAGAAAGCCTGGGTCCAGGTCCTCGCACTGTCACCGTGAGAAATGTAGATTCCTCTAATGTGAACTGAGGACTTTGGATTTGTTGGTCTCTTCAGCCCTAAGAAGAGCCAGAGTCATCCGCCTCACCATCTTGAGCATAAACCACAGACTGAACATCTGGCAACTATAATGATAGTTTTCTGTATGCGTGGGAGAACGCTGTCCTCTGGATACAACATGGCCTTTGTCTTCTTGAACTCCAGCATTGTAATTAGCCACAGGCAACCCACACGGGATTGGCTCTATTATTATCAGGTCCTGGAAGGGAGGAAAGGGCTCTCAAAGCAGCACACACTGAGTACGAGGCTCCCCCGTCCCTAAGGACATAGAGGAAGGTGGGGAGAAGTTTTCTTCAGTGATATGTTGCCTGTCACCTGGGCTACTGTACGTAGCGCCGTTAAACTCATTAGTTCACCACATTAAACGTGGGTGCAATAGTTTCTTCAGTATGTCATTGGCACTCTCTCTGGGGTAGAAGATGTGTGCTCACATCTCCCCGGGAAAAGTTCATGCAATAATATGGCAAATGTTTGCTGCAGGTGGAGTTTTCCTGTGTCGGCTACTCGCTTCCAAATAACCACTCAGAGGCTTAATATTGATTATAAATGTTTGACCAATAGCTCAGGCTTGTTACCAGCTAACTCTTACATTTTAAATTAACCCATATTTCTTACCTATGTTTGGCCACATGGCTCGGTACCTTTTCTCAGTATGGCTGTCCACCTTGCTTCTCTCCGCATCTGCTGGTGACTCCCCTGACTCTGCCCTTCTTCTTCCCATCATTCTCAGTTTGGCTCTCCCACCTAACTTTATCCTGTTCAGCTATTGGCCAGGCCAGCTTGTTTATTAAACTAATCACAGTGACATATATTCACACGGTATAAAGGGATATTCCACAGTTTCCAAGTGCTTAAAATATAGGCGATACCAGACTAGATCCTAGTATTACAGCAGTGGAAAAGCGAAAACCCTCTCAAGTTGCATTCTGGTGAGAGAGGCAGAAAATCAGATACATAAATCAACAAGTTAAGCTGGGGTGCTCATAATTTGTATGAACACAGTAAAGCAGAGCATTGGCAGAGGGGGTTCTGTCTGTCCTCTGAACAGTGATGTTCAGTTGAGAACTAACCTGAAGGACAGAGCTGACTGTGAGACTGTCTGGGGACGGGGCTGACAGGGTGAGATGGAGCAGAAGAGGTCTTCAGGAAGGAGTTTGATACACTGAGAGGACAGACTGTGGCCCATTGAGCTAGCAAGGAGGAATTAGAAGCCGACTGGTTCTAGGTTATATGGGAGCTTGGGAACAACTCCAAGGAGCTTGGACTTTATCTCAGGTGCAGGAAAGCCTGTGGGCGGTTTTAAGCAGGAAAATGAAAAGATCTGCTTTACGTTATCAGAAGGTGAGTCTTGGTGATTCTGTAGAGAATAAATTATAGCAAGATAAAAGGAGCGAGGAGGCCGGTTAAAAGGCAGTAAGTAGTAGGAGCCAAGGTGAAAGATGGCGATGACTAGAGCCGTGGAGTAGCCGAGACATTGGGAATCACCGAGTGGCTGTGGGAATACAGAGTGAGGTTTCTGGAAATACACACAGGGCTGGTTACCCCTTCCCTCCATGCGTCCCTGCCAGTCCCTACATAAATCTTCATTTCTATGCAGGAAACTCGTGCTAGGTCCCACTGTTCATGCTTTTTATTTCTGCCCAGAGAAGGGATTTGGGCTCTGTATTATTACTTGACTTATTATTCGTTTTTCAATTAATAATTCGTACAAGTAAGTCAGGCACACAAGTTTACTTCTTGGTTACTTGGACACCACTTCCTGCGCATGGATTCTGCCTTGCAAGAATGAGGGCATAATTTAAGAACTGTGCGCACTTCTGGGCTCCACGTCACTGACCTGTACAATGAAGTACATTCCCAATTTAATACTGCAGCTGCGCCCCACAGGCCAAAGACAGCTTAAGACTTTAAATTTTGCTTATGATTTAGATACGCTTGTGCATGTTGGGGTTGGAGGGCAACTTTGCAGTCTTTTCTCTCCTTCCACTTTATATGGGAATGAACGTAGATCAAGGCTTGCACTAGCCACCATCCACTGTCCAAAAGTTGTATCAATGTATTCACACAGGGAGTGTGTATCTAGTTCTCTACACCCTCAACAACACTAAGCATCTGTAATTACTGTTCAACTAGTACCTCAAAAAATACTTTTTGCTTTGTTTCATTGTTAACTACCTCTTCATGTTTGCTGACTTTGTATTTCTTCTGTTTGAAATTATCTGTCCGTCTTCTTCAACTATCTTGATGTGAGATTGCTTCGTCTATTATTTATTGGATCTCTTTGATGTATCTGCATGTTACACTCTGTTTGTGCTATGTTTTATGGAAAATCTCTCCCAACATATTGCCAAAACTGACTTGGCTTTTTAAGTTGCATTTAGGAACCTCTTCGTCAGAATCCAATAGTGTAAGGTTGGACGAAGCATGAAATAAGCTTTGCACCTCTTACTTTTAAAGCAGTTAAGATGAAAATTAAAATGAGTAAGAATACAGATGCTAACTCTAGTAGTTTAATTGTGTCTCTGTTGTTTCCTTCTAGTACCCCCAACACCACCTTCACCGAATTCCCAGAAGCCGGGAGGTTCGGCAGTCCTGGCTCTCCTCCGTGTTCACCACCTTGCACTCCATGTGGTTTTCCTTTCCCCTGGTTCACCGAATAAAGCCAGATTTGGTAGGTAAGCCTGTCCCTCGGGACAGAGAAAGTAACTCTCTCATCGCTTGTCCACTGATAATAAGATCTGTTGTTTATAACTCTCTCATCGCTTGTCCACTGATAATAAGATCTGTTGTTTATAACTTTCTCATTGCTTGTCCACTGATAATAAGATCTGTTGTTTGTCGGTGAGCCAGGGCTTTTTAGAGATACACAAAATGTATAGTTTATGTGCACTTTGCTGAAAGAGGTGAGAAGTTTGCCTTCCTAGCTACAGTTTGAACTGAGAGTTTGTCCTGTCCTTTCTTTTATGATGACAAATGCCAACAGTGTCTTTAACTAACGCTTGTGGCTGCTCACTGTGGTTCCTAACCAGCACCATGTGCGAGTCAGCACCAAATAGTTGATTCTTTTTCAATACTCTTTTTGGTATTTGTGAAGACTTTTACCAAATATGGTATGTGGCAGTCAGAATTTCTTATGTATTCAAGTTTTCCTAGGAAAGGAGTACAGAAAATAGAAAGCTGAAAGCTGAATACATTCCTGTATCTCTGCCTTCTCTGTCTGTGAAAGTCTTGCACGCTCTTGCAGTCTTTGTGGTAAAGTTGGAGGGTTAATTGCAGATGTGCAGCAGAAGATAGTGCAGATCAGTGGATGTGTGTCACAGTGCTGTGCATGGCTCCTAAATTATGCTCATTCCTGTAGACGGCGGAAGCCATTAACTGCCGTAGCCCAATTCCCGGATATACGAGTCCTGCCGAGTCTATATTATTCTCATGAATAATTGAGCCAAAGTATATTTGCTAGTGATTTAGAAAGTTCTTCATCAGCTGGATTGTAGTTTAAACCCTTATTTTGGAGGACAGTTTAAAACCCTTTATTTTTTTACATGAGTAGTTCTCTATGAGTTTTTTAAAATAGCATTTACATACCATAAAATGTACAGCTCTTAAGTGTATAGTTTGACCACATCCCTAATAAGACATAGAAACTCTCCATGACCTCAAAGTGTTTTCTCTGGCCTCTTCCAGTCAGCCCAAGCCCCCAAGACATCACTGTTTTCTGATTTATACCACCCTAGATTAGTTTTATATGCATTTATTTTTTTAAAGTTTATTTTTATTTTATATGTATGGATGTTTTGCCTGCATGTATGTTTGTATATCATGTGCATGCCTGGAGTCCACGGAGGCCAGAAGATTCATCAGATTCCCAGGGACTGAGGTTATGGAGGGTTGCTAGCTTCCATGTGGGTGCTGGGAATTGAACCCAGATCCTCTGGAAGAGCAGCCAGAACCCTTAACCACTGACTGATCTTCCCAATTCCCTCAAATTTTTGTCAAAATAAGTTGAACTCACAGTCTACAACTACGTTGTTTAGCATGTAGTAGTCAAATATCTTTCTTAAAAATTATTGTTGGCCTTGCCGGGCGGTGGTGGCGCATGCCTTTAATCCCAGCACTTGGGAGGCAGAAGCAGGCGGATCTCTGTGAGTTTGAGGCCAGCCTGGTCTACAAAGCGAGTTCCAGGAAAAGCGCAAAGCTACACAGAGAAACCCTGTCTCAAAAAACCAGAAAAAAAATTATTGTTGGCCTCAAATGCTGAATTTATTTTTAAACTTAAGAGACAAGTGGAAGGGGAGAAAGGTCATTTTATTTTATTTTGAGGCGTGTTAAGTATTCTTTATTTGATATTGTACATAAACCACACTACAGTGCTTTCTAGTGAGTTAAAAGCAGCCTCATTAGATAACAGAGAATTCTGATTAAATTGACTTAGTCAAGAACAGTATAGACTCCTGCTTCCTTGTCTTTAATCATGGCCTGTAACAGGCTAATGAGTAAAATTGAAACAAGAATGAGTCATGCTTTGTTCTAACAGTGAAGGGAATTTTCCCCAGTATGAAAATATACTCCTATAACCAATTATGTAAACCTAAGTATAAAGCCATTCTTTGGAGCTGGAGAGAGAGGTCAGTGGTTAGAGCACTAACTGCTTTCCAGAGGACCTGAGGCTGGTTCCTGTACCTACAAGGTGGCTCAACCATCTGTTACTCCAGATCCAGGGCATCTGATGCTCTCTTCGGATCTCTTTGTGCACCAAGCATGCACATAGTGCACAGACATAGTGCAGGCAAAATACTCATCTACATAAAATTAAATGAATTGAATTTAAAGACCACCATTCTTCAGTAGATTTCAAGGTGGCATTCCTTATCTTTGTGAAAAGCTGGGCATTACTAATTAGATCCAATCATATCTTTATTTTTTTTAGATTTATTTATTTATTTTATCTGCACCTCAGAAGAGCCCATTCGGATTCCATGGGACTACAGTTACAGATGCTTGTGAACCACCATGTGGGTGCTGGGAATTGAACTTAAGACCTCTGGAAGAGCAGCCAGTGCTCTTACCCACTGAGCCATCTCTCCAGCCCCCATCATATCTTTAAAAGGGGGAAATAGTGGTAATATTTAGTAAACTGAAATTGCTATTTTGAAAAAAAAATCATATTGGGCTGTGCATGGTCATACACATCTTTAATCCCAGCACTTTGGAAGCAGAGGCAGGAGGATCTCTGTGAGTTCAAGGCCAGCTGGTCTACATTATCAAGCTCTAGAACATCCAGGAATATATAGAGAGACCCTGTTTCAAAAAGCAAACAAATAAACAAAAAGATCATATTCACTTTACTATAATCTAGTTTTACTTAAATCAGGACTGGCTGTCCAACAAAAATACTATGTTACCTTTCCTACTCTGGATTCTGTTCATGAGTTTAATCCTGGCACATACTGAAAGCCGGGAGATATTTGCTTTATAAGTAGGGCATGAATGTCACTGGTTAGCAGCCCCTTTAATAAAACCGTTAAATCTGCCCTTTCTCCCTTCTGAGTCCCAGCGAAGATTACTGTGTTCCAGAGATTTCCTTTCTGGGGATTCTCTAAATACACCATCAGTGTGTTCTCTCTCTAGGTGATGCCTATGCTATGTTTAAGAGAGTCCTGGTGTGTCTTCCTCCCAAACAGGCCATGCAGACTTGGTCCAGGCTTCTGCTTACCCCTGTTTTCTACAGTGTGCCACTGAGCGCGCTTTGCAGCAGAAATCTCCACACCTTTCTGTGTATTACCCATTTATAATTCATTCTTCCATCACTCAGCCAGTTTGAGTGCAGCAACATCAGAGTTCAGAAGGAAATGATAAGTGATGGGTAATGTCCGCTGTGGATGCAGAAGAGCTCGGTGACTCCCCGGCCTGGTTTTTGTTTGGTATTGCAGTGCCGGGGATTGAACCCAGGTCCTCAGGAATGCTAGGCATGTGCTGTACAACTCAGCTCTGTGTTTCTGATACTCTGTTGGTGTGCCTCACGGGTGTCGGGACTCTTGGTCCCAGGCCCATTTTGCCTCTTACTTTAGTTCATTCAGTTTCCTTCGAGGCCTTATTACCTAAAAGCAAAAAGGATTGGGCTAGCTATCCTCTCCATTTCTTTAATTAGTCTAAAGTTTCATCAACGCTGTAAAATTGCTTGTAAAAAGTGTGTGTGGGGTATGCTTATGTTTTTGAGGGATAAGAAAGGAAGGACTTGGAGTATGTGGAAATACTTCTTCCACTTTCAAGTGCTGAATTTTAAAAGTCACTTCAAACCTGAGTGTCGTTGGACGGCTACTTTGGTCTGGTCGGCAGCCCTGAAAGAAAAACACAACACAAAGATCTCGCCTATATTTATCCAGATCCACTGAATGTGAAATGTTCAGGTGCTGTAGTACTTGCAGAACTGACTAGAAACGCTTGGTGTTCCCACGGGACCAAAGTAGAGTTTTATAAACAGTGACTAGAGGGGAGAGCCGTGTGGCGGCTGTGACGGCGCTGTGCCGATGGCCACACGTTATTGTGATGATAGAACCTGCACCAGCAGCAGGTACAATCAAAGCCATGTTGAGTGTGCCCTGACAGTCCTCAGAACAAAACCAGTGGGGTCGGTTTTAAAGAGATCCTGCTGTTGCCCTGCTAACCAAGTGCATTTGTGTACTAAGAGCCTTGCTATGCTAACCACTCCGCCAAGGTGACTCAGTTCCCAATTGCACCAGATACCGATGGCGACGAACTTCCTAGATTACAAAAGAAAGTAAATTATAGTAAAATCTTAATTCTCTGTTACTTAATACCTGCAGTTAGCAAGTTTTTCATGTGTAGTGTGTTGCCAGACTCTGACGTTAACTGAGAAGCAGACAATCTTCTCTCCCTTTGGGTAGGAGTCAGTTGAAATGTGTATGCTATGTCAGCGAACTGGATGTTTTTACAAACTGAGAAATGAACATCTAGGCCATTTCATGGGTGGCTTTGCTTTATCCTTTGGATTTGACTTTTTAAATTGTAGCAAAGACAATGTGTTCAAAGATAATGTGTTTGTTGCTACAATTTAAGAACTTCATTTAAAATCGATTTTGGAAGATTTTTCTAGGTATATGTTTTGGAATAGTTTGAACAGTAGCCAGGTGGTCACCAAGTAAACTCTATGGCTTAAAGGGCTGGAGAGATGACTCAGCAGTTTAGAGCACTGGTTTCTTTTCTCTCAGATTCGAGTTCCATTCCCAGCACCCCCATGGCTCACAACCATCTGTAACTCCTCCCCTGGCCTCCTCAGTCATGCAAGTGGTACACAGAGATCCATGCAAGCGAAACACTCAGACACATAAAACTAAATTTAAAACTTTTAAAAATCATATGGCATGGGGCTGGAGAGATGGCTTGGAGGTTCAGAGCACTGGCTGCTCTTTCAGAGGTCCTGAGTTCAGTTCCCAGCAGCCACATGATGGCTCACAACCATCTATAATGAGATCTGATGCCCTCTTCTGGCATGCAGACATACATGCAGGTGGAACACTATGTACATAATAAATAATTTTTTTTAAAAAAAAGAAAATTTAAAAAAAAATTTTAAACAATGGTTCTCAACCTTCCTAACGCTGCGCCGACCCTTTAACACAGTTCCTCACGTTGTGGTGACCCCCAACCATA